AAATTTGTAATTATGTAAGATTGTGTCATCAGAAAATTTCACTTCCACCATGTGAGGACAGAGCAAGAAGACCTTCATCAGATCCCCATGACCTGGTCTTGAACTTTCTAGCCTCCAGAACTGTGGGAGAAACATTTTTGTATTTATAAATTACCCAGTCTTATTCAGTTGTATCAGCACAAAACAGACCAAGGCAGTTCATGACAGGTATATATTGATTAATTACTATTAATGTTATTATTATTGTGTATCTGTAATGTGAAGTACTATAATAGGTGAGCATATAAAAGGATTAAGAAACTTATCAGATGAAAAATTTAGACAATTCACTCAACAATTTTTTTAGTTACATGTGTCTGCGCTTGATACTATCCTAGGCACTGGGGATCTGATAGATGGAAAAAAGATAAAATTCCTGCCATAAGGAAACTTCCATTTATCAGCTGTAGAACATCTTCCCTGTCTATCACTCCAATGGGGAAATCCTAAGAGCAATTGACAACTACATTATAGTGTGATGAATATAATGAGAAGCTAGAGCACACGGAGGAGGAATTTAAAGGGGAGGGGCATGTAACCTGGTTTTGTGAGAGCAAAATTATGGAAAGATTCTTGGAGGTGGTAATGTCTGTGCTAAGCCTAGAGAGACTTGTTGATTTTAAAACTTTCTGCATAATACCTGTTACGTGCCTGAAATTGTTCTAAGTGCTTTACAAATAAGTTATCATTAATTTAATTATCCTGATAACTCTATGAGGTGGAGAAAGTAAAGCATATACGGGGCTATATTACTTGCCCCAAATCACAAAACTAGACAGTGGTTCCAAAGTGCATGCCATTAACTGCAATGTACTATGCTTCCTCTCCCTCTTATAATGTTTTTGTAAGCTGTGTTGGGGTGAGCTGGAGGTCAAGGAAATGGGGCATATGAGAAGTCAGTACTCCATGAAAGTCTTTAAAACTTTTTAGTTTACTGGAGCAATGGAAAGAACTTGGTAGAAAGATCAAGAAAGAAAATGGAGGGTTATCAATATTCTAGAAAGCCAGGTGAGAGATTTTGGTATTTCTGGTAGTGTGTTCCCAGTTGACACTCATCTAGTGCTATATGACTACACAAAATAATGTATTATTTTTAAGGTAGAAGTATTAATATATTTTACAGACTCTAAGATATAGATCAAAGAACACAGTTGTTTATTAAGGATATGCATTGCCTGTTTAATCCAGCAATAGCAATATTTAGATTCCCTGTCATGTGTTTCATAATCAATGTAGTTACAATTTTAATCATGGATATCTATGCTTAAGTTCTCTCTTTTGTAAGTAGCTAAACGTGATGCTCTTGATAGGAATGAACAGCATACTACAGTAAAGTGAGATTGCCAAAGGGTAATCCAACTGATAAAAATAGAGCGATACCTCCAGGAAAAATATCTAATTCTAGTTATTTTATCCTTTGAATAGTTTTATGTTTTCTCACTATATACCAACTCACCTGAAATAGGTTCTCAGTTAAGTATTTGTATTAGTGCATTTTCACACTGCTATAAAGATACTACCTGAGCCTGGGTAATTTATAAACAAAGGAGGTTTTATTGACTTACAGTTCTGCATGGCTGGCAAGGCCTCAGATATTTTATAATTTTATAAAGAAGGCAGCAGACTTCTGGCTGGACATCCAGGCATTTTCATACATCCTCTAAAACTTAGGTGGAGGTTCCCAAACCTCAATTCTTAACTTTCGTTCACTGCAGGCCCCAAACCATATGGAAGCCACCCTTTTAGCCACGACTGGCACTGAAACAGCTGGAATGCAGGGTGCCATGTCCAGAGGCTGCAGAGAGCAGCGGGGGCCCTGGTTCCAGAGAAACCATTTTTTTTTCCCAGGCTTCCTGACCTGTTATGGGAGGGGCTGCAGCCAAGAGCTCTGATATGCCCTGAAGACATTTTGTCCGTTATCTTGGTGATTAACATTTGGCTCCTCATTACTTATGCAAATACCTGCAGTGTGCTAAATTCCTCCCCAGAAAATGATGTTTTCTCTTTTATCACATCATCAGGCCGCTAAATTTTCCAAACTTTTATGCTCTGCTTCCCTTTCAAGTGTATGTTCCAATAGCAAACCATCTCTTTGTGAATGCATATAACTGAATGCTTTCAGAATAATCCGGGTTACATCTTGAATGCTTTGCTGCTTAGAAATTTCCCCTACGAGATATCCTAAATCATCTTTCTCAAATTCAAATTATTCCATTTATATAAGATTCTCAAAATAACAAAATTATATAGGCTGAGAATAGTGGTCACTAGGGATTATGAACTTGACGGGAAAGCTAGGGTGTAGCTATTACAGGAAAAATGAGAGATCCTTGTATTGATGAAACTCTTCTATATTAATATGGTGGTTGTCCCTTGAAGGTAGGCATATGATAAAACTGAATATAACTAAACACACACACACAAATGAACACATGCAAAATTGGTGATCTGAACAGATGAACTGTACTAATGCCAGTTTTCTGGTTGTGATGTACTTTTGTACTTTTGATTGTACTTTTGCAAGATCTTATAACTGGAGGAAATGGACTAAAAGATACAGTATGGTATCTCTTCATATTATTTCTCACAATGGCATGCTAACAGATACATTAAAAGATGTTCAACATCATTAATCATAAGAGAAATGCCTACTAAAACCAGAATATCACTTCAAACTTGTTAAGATGGCTATTATCAATTAAACAATAAATAAGAAATTTTGATGAGAGTGTGAAGAAAAAACAAATCTAGTACACTCTTGGTGGAAATGTAGATTGGTATAACCATTATGTAAAACAGTATGGAGGTTTCTAAATAAATTAAAATGTAACTACCATATGACCCAGCAATCCTTCTTCTGGGTATATACCCAAAGGAGATGAAATCACAGCCTCATATGGATATATGCACTGTCTCATTCATTACAGCATTATTCACAATAGCCCAGATATGGAAACCATTTAAATGCTCATCAATGGATGAATGGATTTAAAAATGTGGGGTGTGTGTGTGTGTGTGTGTGTGTGTGTGTGTATTTATAGTTATACAGAATTAAATATTATTCAGACTTAAAGAAAAGAGATCTTGGCATTTGCCACAATATGGATAAACAAGCATAAAGATCTAATGTACAGGGGGACTAAAGCTGATGAAACTGCATCATGAATTTTTGCTAAATAAGTAGATTTTAGCTGCTATTGTCACACACTTAAAAACTAAGAAGAGAGGTATGCTAATCTGCTTCACCATAGTAACCATTTTACTTTATGTATCCCATAGTATCATGTTATAAGCCTCAAATATACACAATAAAATTTCTTTAAAATAGAAATAAAAAATCCATCACACTTCTATATACTAACATTGAACATGTGGAAATCAAAATTAAACACATGATACTATTTACAGTCACTTGAAAGAAAATGTAACACTAAGGTATAAATTAAAACATGGACCAGAAGGTGGGTACAAAAATTAAATATCAAAATATCTTTCTAAAATTTACAAAATACAAAAATGTGCCTGATATATTCATTTACAAGGGAAGAACAGATTATACATAAATAGATGCATCTTAAAAACAGGCCTGAGTGAAACATTAAATACTGACAATGGCTACATAAATTGAAAACAAATGTCCACAAACAATTAAAAAACATGTATTGACACTCATACAGAGAAAAGGGTACACATCAAATGCATTACAATGATTGCCAATGTAGACAAGAGAAATAAAACTGGATCATGCAAATAAAGGAGAGTGAATGAGTAAACAAACAGGAGAGGGTCTTGAGAATATAACTCAATATAACTCTTGAGAATATAACTCAGCCCTCTACATTGATGCCAAACCACTTTATTGTATTCCCTTCAATAAAAACAATATTTTTTTAAAGGGAAGAATTCTTAATCATTGACATTCTATAGAAATGCTGGTGTATGGAAGTGGTAATAAAAATACCAACTTTTACTTGTATAATTGTATTCAAATTCTCTGTAGACTATGCTTTCATTTATTGCCTGCAGTAGACAATGGCCACTAGTTTCTTAACAAGGAAATGCCCTAGTATTGGGACCATGGCCTCCAAACACCATTATTTTGGTGTGTGTGACATGCTGTCTTACTTTATGTAGGGTGAGGTTTTTGGTCCTTATGAGGGGCTTCAGTTGCTCACAGTATTGGTTGAGCTGCAACCCAAACCACTATGAGGTCTGTGGCCTAGAGGTGGTGATTTTGATGTCTTCATTTTGGAAAGAGTGTCACTGTCACCTACATACAATACAGATCTTTGTATTTTATTTTATTTATTTATTTTTGGAGACAGAGTCTCGCTGTGTCCCCTAGGCTGGAGTGCAGTGGCCAGATCTCAGCTCACTGCAACTTCCACCTCCTGGGTTCAAGTGATTCTCCTGCCTCAGCCTCCTGAGTAGCTGGGATTACAGGCACCTGCCACCACACCCAGCTAATTTTTGTATTTTTTTTTTTTTTAGTAGAGACTGGGGTTTGCCATGTTGGACAGGCTAGTCTCAAACTCCTGACCTCAGGTGATCGTCTGCCTTGGCCTCCCAAATTGCTGGAATTACAGGCATGAGCCACCACGCCCAGCCAATACAGATCTTTTTAAATGCCCTTCTACACATTCACATGCTCCAAACACCATGTCCTTTTCTTCCTCTCCTGTTAGATAAAATTTTAAGAAGAAAATTTGTCTCTAGGAATAAGTTCTCCCCCAGGCCTTATTTACAATGTCTGGCTAACTGTCAACCTGTGGGTCTGTCTGCCAACACTACAGGATGTCATATCCTTCCCTTCTCAAATGCCTACCTCTTCCCTTCCCTTCCTCCCCACCATCAGAAAACAGGCAGAGATATACACAGTCATCAGCTCCTCAAACTTGATTTTATTGTAATCATTGCCATTGGTGGTGAGGATTTGTCCAATTTGGTTTCTCCATGTTTGACTAGTCCTCCTCACCCTCCTGTGAAGATCCTTCAGATAAGTATGGGTCTTCATCCTCCTGTGAAGATATTTCAGATGAGAATAGGTCTTCGTCCTCTTGTGAAGATATTTCAAATGAGTCTAGGTCTTCATACTCCTGTGAAGATCCTTCAGATGAGTCTAGGTCTTCATACTCCTGTGAAGATCCTTCAGATGAGTCTAGGTCTTCGTCCTCCTGTGAAGATATTTCAGATGAGTATAGGTCTTCGTCCTCCTGTGAAGATAATTCAGATGAGTCTAGGTCTTTGTCCTCTTCCTCTTGGCCTGGATTGATGGAGTTCTCTTGGGACTGGTTATTCTCCAGTTGATTTGAATTTATTTTCTTACCCTTCCTGTAGTAATACACTATTATTGTTAGATATTCTACTGTTTTTGCCTTTTGAAAGCTCTGTTTGAGGGCTAAGACTCTGTTTGGTGCCTCCTGCATCTGGTGAGAAAACAGGGAGAGGCCAGACAGACATTATTTTGGGTGAGTAGGATAGAGACTGGATAGCAAGGGGGGCTTTATGAGAAGGAATGCAGGTTGAGGAAGGGGTTTGTGCCAGAGAAGAACAAGGTGGAATCATAGGGTAGGGATCTATGGGGAAGAAGAAGAAGAGCATGGGTAGGGTCATCTGTTAGTCCAAACTGCACCATTTTGTAAGCTGTTTGCTATTTTGCAGACCTTGGTCAAAGTGAAACATTCCATGGGGGTTCAGGCCATGAGAAACATCCTGCCTAACCACCTGACCACAGGGTTCATAAAGACTCAACTAAAGAAACATCCCTATCATATCTTGCTTAACAGAGTTCTAAGGAACACCACAATGATATTCCACCGGAAAAAGGGCCACACCACCTGATCATAAGACATCTTATTAATATCCTGCCGGGCAGCAAGCTATACTGCCCAGCTCCCTCCCACCCATACCTGTAAGGACCCCATCCTGTAAACATTGGTGGGCACTGGCATTAAGTTTGTCCTCCACTTCCACAGGTGTCTAAAATATTCCTGTGTTGCTGTTTGAGCTGCCCCCTCTCTGTGTGTCTTTCTTTCATCCTCGCCTTCCCTTCAAAACCTATCATTTTGGTGCCAAAACCTGGAATGGTGATTGGGTTCTAATGGGTGAGTTTCCTGTTGCAACCTGGAAAGCAGCAAGCAGCACAAACTAGACCAGGGTCTGCTTCCAGATCCTGAGTGTACTCCCTGTTCCCAGTTCCATTCCCCTTATTCTCTAGTCTTCCCCAGTCCCGGGCTAACCTCCAGATATTGATCAAACAATCCACCTTATTTTTCATTTCTTCCCCTTTCCAGGCAGCTGCAACAAGGATCACCCCTATTGCTGGACATCACATCCTACACTGGGCTTCAACTATTGGGTGAGTGTCCGTCTTCCTCCTTTCTGGATTCCTCGCTATTTCTGCCTGTTCTCCAAAATATTCCAGTGCTGGGTGACAGGTCTCCACAGTCACCAGGTGACTGCAGCCTACATTCTTAGGGTACACCCTCAGAACGTTTGCCACTCTGGCTGCTCCGGCCTCTGGGGAGCATGAATAGTTGTGGGGCTGCCCCGACTCTCCGGGTCCCTTCTCCCAGGAGGAATCGAGTACTCACTTTCCTCTGGGGTATTCACTTCTCTCTGGAGTACTCGCTCCCCGCTGGGGTATTCACTGCCTTCCAGGGTACTCACTTTCCTCTGGGGTATTCACTTCTCTCTGGAGTACTCGCTCCCCGCTGGGGTATTCACTGCCTTCCAGGGTACTCACTTTCCTCAGCGGTATTCACTGCCTTCCAGAGTATACACTCCCCTCTTCCATAAAACACAACATTCAACTTCCAAATTCAACATAATCTAAAAAACTTTCTCCAACACAATGGTAAATGATCTGAAGTGCTTTGCTTATCTCTGTTCACAGCTCACTCTCCCTCTCTGCCAATCTTGTTCACCTTTTCAAATCTTCCTCCTCAAGGAGAAACCCCCCAAAATGCCTCCTCCTACAGACAAGGCTTCCTCCTCTGAATTTCAACCTGGCCAACACACCCATTCTTCAGCCTCCTGCCCACCACCATTCCCTCCACCTTCTCCTTCGGATCCGGCTCCTCCACCCCCTTACTGTAGCCCTCCATCCCCCTTCCTTCTCCACCTCAAACCAGGTCTCATGCCCAACCCTCTTTTGCCGAAAACCAGGCACGTGTCCAAAGGTCTTCCAAAGTCCTTCCCTTGCAGGAGGTCGCGAGGGCTGAAGGCATAATCTGAATTCAAGTTTCCTTCTCTCTAGCTGACTTCTCCCATAGTGAAAAGAGACTTGACACCTATTCAATGGATCCTACCTCCTTCCACAAGGAATTTCTGTACTTCTCTAAATCTTATGGCCTTACCTGCCATGACATATATGTCATGCTCTCCTCTACCCTCACCCTGGAGGACAGGGAACACATCTTTATTGGCACCCAGGCCCATGAGAACATCCTCCACCAACAAGACGCTTCTCATAACCCAATAGGAACCGTAGCTGTCCCCAGAACTGACCCCAGTTGGAATTTTCAGGCGACTTCCGTAGACAGACAGAAACCAGGCCATATGATATCATGCCTTCTAGCTGGCATAAATAAAGCTGCCCCTGCTCCTTTCATCTCCCACCTTTCAAAGGTCACAACTAAATAGACCACCTTAAGCCCTAATACCAATAAGGGCAAAATCGACCTCCATTTACACTTTATCTCCCAGTCAGCCCCAGACATTTGAAAGAAACTTTAAAAACTGGAGGATGGCCCTCAAACCTCCCAAAGAGACTTAATCAAAGTGGCCTTTAAGGTCTTTAAGAATAGAGAGGAAGAACTAAAAACCCCAAACCTAAAAAAGGACCAGGCTAAATACCACATGCTGATAGCTGCCACTCAACAGGGTTCCCAAGGCATACAGAATTCCTCAACTTGGCAACGGTCAACTCCAGGAGCCTGTTGTAAGTTCGTCCAACATGAACACTGGGAAAAAGCCTGCCCTAATCCCAGGACACTCTGGAAACCTTGCCCCATCTGTGGTATCAAGCAACACTGGAAGTCAGACTGTGCTCAGTGAAACTCTTCATCCTGCTTCACCGCCTGTACCTGAAGTCTGATGGGGCCTGGAGTCCACCGCCCCCACCGCCATCACCACCACAGAACCCAGGGTAATGCTATCAGTCTCTGGTAAGCCCATGTCTTTCCTATTGGATACTCAATAGGACAACTGGTTACTCAGTTTTACCAGAATATTCTGGACCCTTTTTCAGTTCTTCGATCTCTATTGTGAGAATCAATGGAATCGCCTCTAGGCACAAACAGACTGGTCCTTTAATTAATTAATTAATTAATTTATTTATTTATTTAGAGACAGAGTTTCGGCCCAGGCTGGAGTGCAGTGGCGCGATCTCCGCTCACTGCTAGCTCTGCCTCCCAGGTTCATGCCATTCTCCTGCCTCAGCCCCCCAAGTAGCTGGGACTACAGGCGCCCGCCACCACGCCTGGTTAATTTTATTGTGTGTATTTTTAGTAGAGATGGGGTTTCACCGTGTTAGCCAGAATGGACTCGATCTCCTGACATCATGATCTGCCCACCTCGGCCTCCCAAAGTGCTGGGATTACAGGCGTGCGCCACCGTGCCCGGCCTCCAGACTGGTCCTTTATTATACAACCTATTCAACACCCCCCTTCACCCACTGTTTCCTGGTTATCCCTCAATCCCCTACACCTTTCTTGGGGTGGGACATATTAAGTCAATCCCAGGTCTCCATACAATGTGGCTCCTACAATTCTACCCCTTTTATTTTACTCTGATACCCAAATGCTTCCCTCTTCCCCCACTCATCCTCATTATCCACCCTGTTACCTTCTGTTAATTCTGAAGTTTGGAATGTTTCTAAACCCACAATAGCCACACATCACATCCCATTTAAAATAACTCTTCAAAACCCCTCCAGTTTCCTTCATCAGTCCTAACATATCCTTAATCCAGCCTTGCTTGGGGACCTAAAACCTATTATCTGTAAATTTTACAAGCTCAAATTCTCAAGCCTGTCAACTCTCCTGACAACACCCCTATTCTGGCTTTCCAAAAGACAGACAGGACTTACCCCTTTGTCCAGGATCTCTAAGTTGTTAACCAGGCAGTGGTACCAATCCATCTAGTGGTCCTCAACCAATATACTCTACCATATTCCCCCATCTTCCACACAATCCTCTGTATTGGAACTAAAAGACAACTGTTTCACTATTCCCTTAAATCCGGCTTACTAAAGTCTTTTTGCTTTAACTTGGTCAAATCCTAATACTCACATGTCCCGTACTCTTACAGGACTTACACATGGACTTACACATAGATTGTACTCTTAGAAGGGTTCCGGGATAGGCCCCACCTGTTCAGACGGGCCCTCATCAAGGACCTAGCTGAACTTCCCCTTGCTCCTAGTACCCTCCTCCAATATGTCAAGGACCTCCTTTTCTGTAGCCCGTTCCTAAACTTGTCCATTCAACACACCACTCAGGTTTTAAACTTCCTTCATAATCGAGTATATTGGGCCTAACCCACAAAATCTCAGGTAGCCCAAACCAAAGTTACTTACCTTGGATTTGTCCTAACCCCTAATTCTCGAGCCATCCCAACACAATGAAAGGAGCTAATTTGTGGCATGCCCCTTCCCTACAGAAAAAAAGGACCTCCCCTCCTTCTTGGGCCTTGTGGGATACTTCTGGCTGTGAATTCCCAACTTTGACTTGCTGGCCAAGCCAATATACGTGGCCTCACATGGGCCCATCCTAAAACCCCTAAACCCAGCTTGCCCCAACAAATCCCACTTAAAAACTAAAAAATGCCCTTTTCATTGCCCTGACACTGGGACTGCCCAATCCCAAGCCCTGTACTTTGTATGTATATTCCGACCAAGGCCTTGCTCTTGGACTACTCTGCCAAACATACGGCGACGCCCCACGAGCCACTGCACATCTCTCAAAACAACTGGACTCTGTCATCCAAGGCTGGTCACTCTGACTAAAAATCTCGGGTGTGGCCACATCGCTGGCCTTAGAGGCACGGAAACTCCCTCTCTACCAACACATTACTGTTGCATCTTCCTATTACCTACAGGACCTCATAAACCATCAATTTCTTCTATCCCTCCCACCATCCCACTTTCAGCAGGTACATGCCTTATTCATAGGTAACCCTCTAATCACCTTCCAGAGATATAAAACTCTCAACTCAGCCACCCTCCTTTCTGTAAACACTTCCGACTCTAAGCTCTCTCTCTCCTGTCTGGACCTCTTAGACTCCCTCTCCTCCCCCTTCCAGCACATTTCAGATGCCTATTTGCAGGGAACACATACATGGTTAATTAATGGAAGCTCTTTTAGGCAGCCATGTCCAGCAGCTGGCTATGCCATCATTGCTGAAAATAAATTCCTAGAATCCA